TTGTCTGGGAGAGATGAGAGGGAGATGGGGAGAGATGAGAGCAAATGAAAACAAAACAACCATCACTTCGCCGGATAGAAGGGTGTATAAACATGAATATTTGGCCGCATATGGATTTCCCATTTTGATATGCTTTCCGAACGAACACTTCTACCAACACCTCAATCAATGATATATAGGAGATGGAAAAATGACAAAATTTAAGACACTGCACCCAAACAAAAGGAAACAAAGAATTACAAATCGGATGGATGCGAAGGGAGAAGGGCCGGGAGAGCTAGATAGTACACGTATATGGAAGGGGTTAGGGGTTGGATGGGGGGAGGGGGGGAGAATTGACTCTAAACAAAAAGCGGATAGGGCAGGGGGTATTTAAGTAGAGGGTGATGGCGGGTTGTTACCCTTGGCTTCTGCATGACCGACTTCAGAGGTATCAGCTGGAGCCTCTGCTGGTGGCGGGGGTTGTATCTTCCCGCCAGTTCCATCAAAGTACTTAGCAAACTCTCCAGATTCAGGATAGGGTCTCTTGCCAAGCAATCGAATCATATCATCGCGGCTAAGGACTTCTTTGGAGAGAAGCTCTTCAGCGACTATGCCAACTTCGGCCTTCTTCTCAGTCAAGAGATCACGACATTGCTTGTAGGCTTCGTCAACAAGACGTCGAACCTCCATGTCAATATTCCGGGCAGTCTCCTCAGAGAAAGGCTTGTGGAGCTGTTGCTGGTCCTCTTCAAAATATATCGTTCCGATTTTGGGGGACATTCCAAACTTGGTAACCATGGCAGTAGCTAAGCGAGTAACCTTGTTGAAGTCATCACTAGCTCCACTCGTCACGGTGTCGAAGTGTAGCTCTTCACTAACACGTCCGCCAAGCGTCATGGCCATACGGTCCATAAGTTGATGGACATTCATCAGATAAGTATCGCCTTGTGCTGGGAGGTATTGGGCATAGCCTAGGGCGCCCTGACCGCGAGCAATAATTGAAACCTTCAGGAGCGGGTCTGCGTATTTGAAGTACCAGCCACAGATGGCGTGGCCAGCTTCATGATAAGCAACAGTACGCTTTTCTTCCGGCGATAGCCCAAGTGACTTTTTCTCCAAGCCACCAACAACCCTCTCAATAGCATGCTCGAAATGTGACATAACGACATGATCCGCGTGCATACGGGCAGCTATAAGTGCTCATTAGATTTAATCCAAACTTTGCGAAGAAAGGGAGAAGTAATTTGAAACATACCAACTAATGCAGCTTCGTTGACACAATTTGCAATATCAGCACCAGAAAATCCTGGAGTTAAAGCGGCCAATCGACCTTTTAGGTATTCGATATCCTCCTTTGTGACAATCTTCTTCAAGTGGACGCCGAAAATTTGTTTTCGCCCATCCATTGTGGGCTTATCGATTGCAATGTGTCGGTCGAATCGTCCAGGGCGCATCAATGCTTTGTCCAAGACATCTGGTCTGTTTGTGCCAGCTAGAACGACAACTTGCTCTGAAGTGTTGAATCCGTCCATTTCGGTGAGAATCTGATTTAGAGTGCTTTCACGTTCATCATTTCCGCCACCAAAGTTGGATTTCGATCTTGACTTTCCGATGGCATCAATTTCGTCGATAAAGATGATACAAGGGGTATTTTTGCGGGCGGTAGCGAACAGGTCACGGACACGGGATGGACCAACACCAACAAACATCTCTACGAATTCAGAGCCGCTGACACTGTAGAAAGGAACTGCAGACTCGCCGGCAGTTGCCTTTGCTAGTAGAGTTTTACCGGTACCGGGCGGACCAGAAAGGATAGCTCCTCGAGGTATTTTTGCGCCTAGCCTCTGGAACTGCTCTGGCTTCTTGAGGAAGCTGACGAACTCCATGATTTCTACCTTAGCCTCATCCATACCAGCGACATCTGCGAATTTTGTCTTTACATCAGTCTCATGGTTGAATTTCCTAGCACGGCTCTTTCCGATGCCGAATATTCCGCTCTGGCCACCACCTCCGGCACCACCAGCCCTTCTTGATAGCCAAAAGAACGAACCGATAAGTAGTAGGGTAGGACCGAAGGACAACAAGGTGGCTAGCCATGGAACTTCATCGGCATATGCGACTGGAATCCGTTCTGAGCTAGGAATGTTCAATTCTCGGTGGGCATCATCCAGGCGTCTCTCAAAGGCTTCAACAGAGCCTATTGTGAAGTAGTAGTGGAAGTTGAGGTTGGTGGCTGGCGACTCGGGGTATAACTTAGCAACAGCATCTCGGTCCAGCTCAACTCTTACTTTGCTGCGGTTGACAACAGTGAGTTTCTCGACCAAGCCTTTGTCGAAAAAGGTATTCCTAAACTCCTGCCATGTAATATCTCGCGATGACTCGCCAGGGAAAACACTTCGGTAGACGTAATAAGAAATGAAAGCAGCAACCAAGAAATTTCCGGCATCAAACTTGAAGTCCATTATCTTAAACTGAGGGCCCTTTGGCTGATCCTTGTCATCCTTGCGTTGCCGTTGCTGTTCAGACTTATTCGATGACTCCTCCTTGGATTCCTGTTTGGGGCCTTCTTTGGACTCGTCCTTTGGTTTCTCCTCTTTGGAAGCTTCATTTTCTTTTCTTTGCGCCTCCGGTGAGTTTTTGGAGTACTCCTCATTCACACTAGAAGCTAACTTCACAGAGTGCTTATTTAGAACTCGCACAAGCTTAGCAGCGTTTGATAGGCTGATGTGTTTCGATTCCCTCACTTCCTCCAGAGCATTCTTGACTTCTTCTGGCAGACCCTCGCGCTTGATGACTTCCGCAGCCGTCTCAATAAGCTTCGCCTGTGACTTAGGTAGGCTCACTTTGAGTTGGTCGACAATTTTATCGAACTCTTCTCGCTGTTCCGCATTGAGAGCATATTTCGGTTCGCTTCCCTCGCTTTCACCGGATTGACCGTGTGAAGGGCGCTCCGCATGCTTCCCAATATCATTTTCTCCGTTCTTTTTATCCTTGGGAGGTTCCGAGCCGCCCGTGCTGCTGGTTGCGTATAGCCGTGAGCGGTTTGCGACAATAAAAGCTGAGAGTCTAGATTGAGGGAGGGAGGCGGAAAATGGTGTGCGCGAAAAGGCCGTGTATCCAGCAGCTCTTCTGGAGTACTGAGCGAGGCCGCCAGGGCGCCGTAGGAGTGTGGCCATAGCCGGAGCAGAGCACGGGGAAACAGGTAAGCTATCGGATCAATTAAGCGTCCAGAAATCAGCTCTCACAGGGCACAGCAACAACCCACACGACCACTCCTAAAGATAAATATAAAGCTGCCTCTCGCTGGACACAGGAAATATAGGGAGCGAGGTTGGTATGAGGGCGAGATGAAGTCGAGATAATTGCCAAATCGGTTGAGCTTCACAAGTTGTTCCTGTTCCGAATTTTTCGCCAACTGCTGACTCATCAACGAGAAGTGTCGGACGATGTTTTGGGCCGTTCGGACTTAAAGGGGTTACCAGTGTTATTTAAGAGCTGAAGATGAAGAGCAGCTGAAGATGAGATGAGAATATATTTGTTACTATCTACGATTATCCATTCAGTGCGTACTCCCACAATTGGTACGCCTGTCCACCCATGCTCGAATGTACCAGCCATCAAAATATCAACAGGTAAAAATCCTGGGAGGATATAGTTATGTGTAACCAACCTTCCAGAAGCCAATGGTCCCTTACGACGTAAAAGCAGTCAACCCGAAACGAAAAATAACTCCTTCATGGCCAATACACCGCGCGCTGGCAATAGAAAATAACCCACTCCATATAGAAAATTAAATTCCGCAGCTCTGAGCTCGATGAGGCTTCGCCAAGTAGATAAGACTCTTACTACTCTGTAGCCCCATTAGCAAACGGAAAGCCGTTGGACATATCCGCCCAGTCCCATTCAAGGGTCATAGGCATCTGCCATAAATCCTGAGGGACAAAAGGTTGCTGGAAGGACGATACATCCAGGGGCATTGAGTCGTTGCTGGGAAGCTGTTGGTCAACATTGAATATTCCAGGATTGACATTTAATCCAGGGCCACCAATAATATCATTGAGCTCCTGGTTAAATCTTGCGGTATTCTTCAATTGTGCAGCTGAGATATCCTCGTTGATCACTGTATCAAATGCATTCTGTGATGATGTCTGAGGTGATGGGAATGTACTCGATGATGTGCTCGATATATTGTGGTTAATGTGCGCCAGCAATGGTGAATTAATGGCTGTTGTTGGGCATTTGATACTTTGGGGTACTCCGTCGTCTGCATCTGAGGGCGCTGGGTATCCTTAGCCTTGACAGGTGGTGATATATTAGATTCCTCCTGCTGTTGTACATCACTTGTCTTCCTTTTACGCCCTTGACTGCGACTCTTTCTCGGCTCGGTCTAAAGCGACTTTAGCTATTCTTTCAAACTCGCTACAAACGCTGAGCATGCGCTTGACGCTACCATTGGACTCATCTGTAGCGAGCATCGAGAGGAAATTCACCACAAGATTCATAAGTTTAACATCTGATCGAGCTCTTGCATCCAGTGGATTTTGCAAGATGTTGGCAAAAAGTGTTACCAAGGATGATATAGGGAAATAAAGAATCAACCTACAATATTAGTTTCCTGCTCTTTGAATACAAGGTACGTTTAGATGTATTACTCACCATACACAAGCAAAATCACCCTGTGGAATGTACTTAATAAGGTTGATCGATGCCCGAGCAGCTGACACGCAGAGTATGGCAGACGAGAACACTCGAGGGTTGAGTGGCCGAGCATTTAATCCTTGTATGGCGTAGTTCGAAAGACGACTTGTCCAATATCCATGATGGACAGACATTCGATGTATAGTGGTCAGACAATTGTAGTATGCAAAATGAAGAACAACAATGGGTAGGATTAGAGGCCTATGGGTGGTCTTTATTTCATGTTCAGGCCTGAAATCTATAGGAATGCTATTCTTCCATTCCTCAAGTTCATGATCTAGCTCGCCGATGGTATTGAGAAGCTCACCATCAGATTGTCGTGATGCTTTGGTGGAATATAGTTGTCTGTATACTCTGCTCTCAATAGTTGCGAATATGCACATGAGGCGGAACAGGTTTATTTTCCCTTTATTATCCGAAAGGGGAACGTTTCCAATGTTGTCGGGAGGATCCTCACTGGGAAGTTCTACATTCATGTCGTCATCATCTTGCACGGGTGGGCGACCGGATCGGAGGCAGATGCTTTTAACAATGTCAGCAAGTTTCAGACATCATAGGAACCGCGTATGCTTACTCTTTATCTAGGATGTAGGCAATCCAAAAGACACGCTTCCGTTGCTCAAGCTCCACCGGATTTAGACCGAAGCCCGAACAACGCTTGTGCAGGCCTATGCTGTGAGAGAGACGGATTCCAGCTGCGACAAGGAAGAATGAAGGCTGAGGATTTGGTGTCCCTTGAAGAAATAACGCCTGCAGTGTCCAGTAAGCATCAATTAAAGGCAAAAAAAAAATCATCAATGCTTACCATTCCAAGCAGAGCCTGTACACTTAGGAGGTCGGTATTTCTCATTGTAAGCTCCGTAAGCACACCCATGGCATTCTTGAGATAAAGCCATGCCTTTTTATCTTCTTCCTGAGGGGCAAGATTGCTCATTACCCGTAGCCTGTGCGCGATCGCCAAAGCTACGTTGATGCTAGCCCACCACCCAGAACCTTCATATGGATCTCTTGAATATTGCTTTTCAACTAGATGCATGAAAGTAGGTTCATGAAATAGAGGGAATATACAATTGAAATTTTCGAAATAATCCCTAAAGAGAGATAGAGCTTCCTCTTTGGGTGGTAAAGGTTTAAAAACCCGACGGGCAAATATGTCGCTAAATATTTCTGGTTTCCAGTATATCCATTTGTTGTCATCCACACATGCAGATGAGATCATATGCTGGAAAGAGGAATCGCCCGTTTTCTCATTCACCCATTGGATGCCCTTTGGAGAAAATATAGAGAATCCAGAGGAGGACCCTGGTATAGAAAAATTAGTAGCTGCCGCCGGGAATATAAGCGTTGGGTAAAATACCTATATATCGCGTTTCTCCGCAGTTATTCGTAACCAAGGAGCACATCATGTCTGAAAGAGAATCAACCTCTGCTTCAGACTCTTTCTGGGAATCAGGGCTTTCCGCAGTTGTTGAAGCCCTCGGGCTAGCATTCAGATCACCACGGGGGGTAGAATTAGAAGGAGACGCTGACGAGCCCACGAAAGTATTGTAGGTTGTGGGTATAGTGGAAGTTTTGGGAGCTTGTGGTTGTTGCTGTTGCTGTGAACTTGGCGATGCTGCCCTGTCTGCCAATCTTTTTTCTAGCATTCCTAAATCAGTCTTTCTGGCATCAGTCTCAGATAAAAGTCCAGAGAGCCGAAGTAACGATTCCATGCGTCCCAATCGGTTCTCGAGTCCTTCGATATACTTTGCCCTAATCATGAAAGACAGCAGGTTAGACAATGGCTCTGCCAAAAATATTGACATATTTAGGGAACCCGTACCCTTTGGGAGGATTTCGTTTCTTTTCCACTTGTGTAAAGATACACTCGGACTTGTAGTTTATGCAATGCGAACATTTTGGCATTTTCCCATCACATTTTATCTTCTTTTTCCTACACATGTCGCATGCCTATAAACAAATAGTATAAGCATTATCCCGGGAAGTCCATAATTCAAGCTCGTAGGGCACTCCACATACTCTAGCAATCCTCCTCCTTTTTGCATCGTTATTATCTTCCGCGAAAGCCGTGCCCGGGAGGGATGGTGTTAGGGGGGAACCATCTGGGTTTGAGGCTCCAAATACTTGGGGCGTTTGATTGGCATTTGAGCCGCGGTTATCGAACGTAGTGGCGTCCATATCCGCTCCCGACATGTTCATTTACAGCTCAAGGAGCTCTTTTGCGGGGAGGCCAGGCCGCAGCGTTTTCGACGTAGAGGCACGCTCGGAAGATGTGCCCAAGGCTGCACGAGCTATCCGGCCGAGCCTATCGAATACCGGGAGCTAGCAAGAGAGTCAGGATGCTGAATAGATTGGTCCGAAGCGCGTGGGAGCTGTGGTATAAAAAAAAGCTGAGACTCCGTCTTTCTGAATGCTTGTGGCGGATAATGGCTAGCAAAATGTCTGGCTGCTTATTAATAAGGATACACCGCATAAGGGAGGAAAAAGTACATCAGGTAGCTGGCAATAATGCATTGTATCCCAAGACGTATTGCTTTCCGCAGCACGACGTACTCACTGAGTTTGTGGATGTAAGATGACCGTTTGTCCGCTGGCTCCGCGAGTCTTGCTGCCTTCCTCTGTATCAACCTTAGAAGGCAGCGATAGCAGCGGGCGTCGATAAGGCACGTGAAGATGACTAAGCTTGGTGGTTTTCGAGAACCCTTCCGCCGCGAACTACGGAGTAGGTACACATTCTTTGACTACTAACGCTCCAGCAACTGGTTAACTACGCTGTTCATTCCGGTGCAGCCGTACAGGAGTCCAAGATGCGGATGGGATATTGTTGGGAAGAGCAAGGAGCAACGCAAAGGAGGCCCTGTCGCGCTTCCGGGGTTTTCGGCCTGCGCCTCATTAAGTACCCCCCATGCGCATTACGTTGTCTAGACATACACCGGTAGCTAGTGAGTTAACTCATCCGCAGATTTTTCTTAACTGGTCCACACGGACGGACAAACGGTTGAACCTCCGGCCGTAAAGAGGTTGCTACAGCGGAGAGGCGGGATGTTCTAATCCCGATCTCTCAAGCCGCCTGCTTATGCCAATCCATTTCTGGTAAAGATTGCGAGGGGATCTGTTGTGTTACCAAGTAACCGTTGTTACTGGGCACCCGACAAGGTTAAAAGCTGGACGACGACACCAGTTCGCTTGGTTTTACGTGAAGACACCCTCAAAACAACCCTGGCTTGACTCAAAATCCTTCCAGGGCAAATAATTACTCAGAATGAGCAAGAACTCCCTTGTATAGTGCGACTTGCCGTATTATAATTGAGGCCTTCCATACGAAGTACTCCGCACAGTCAACTACATAACTTCAAGGGGGTAAAATATCTAAGCTCAACTAACCAATTTAGCGAATATTGGCTTGCTTTCCCCAGACAGGGGCGATGCTTTCTATTGGTCAGAAATACTATTTAAGCCATTGGCTTACGTTTCTCTTTTTATAACTAATTATTGAAACTATAAGGATTTCTATTGGCCAAATACTTATTTCCATCTCCAGTACACGATCTCAGTTACAGATGCATCTTTGGAGAAGAAATAAATTTATGAACCAGGCCATGGAATATTCAGCGTTTTGTACCTTATTTTGTTTGTTTTTATCTAATTTACCATGCTATTAACTAGCAAACCCAGGCCACCAAAATCGTTTCAGCCGGTTCTTCACCAAAGCCATACCAATAATGGCGACTCAGAAGAGTGGATAATCTTCAAAACTTGCATTTGAATAACAAAAGCTAAGTTGACATAGATTGGAACTCAACAGAGAACTTTTTCAATTATACCCGGGGGCGTTTTGTTGTTAACGAGGCAGAGGAGATGCGGCAGCGACATGTGCGCTTTGATATGAACGAACTGGCTAGGCTAGCCGCAGATACTGTTGGCGCAAAGGAGGTTGTCAATATCGAAAAATGTGCTGATGGCCTTTTCAACAAAGCCTTTGTTTTCACCTTTGAGGATGGAAAGCAGGTAATTGGCAAAGTTCCCAACCCGATTGCCATTACAACCCATCTTACAACCGCTAGTGAAGTTGCAACTATGGAGTTTGTATGTCTTCCATGAAACGACATTGCTAGCTGAGTACGCATACTAACCTCTCACTCTATATTCATGGCTGAAAAGATGAGAACTGTGCTTAAAACTCCCATTCCACGAGCCTATGCATGGAGCTCTAAAGCTGATGACGGCAAAAATTCTGTGGGAGCTGAATACATCATCATGGAGAAGATTGCGGGCATTCCACTGGGGAAAGTCTGGAAACACCTTTTGGGGAGTGATAAGATGAAGGTTCTGATTAATATATTCAAACATTAGAATGAATGGGTGTCTGTTGCATTCTCACGGTTCGGAAGTCTGTACTACGCTGGGGATGTAGACACTCCGCCCGCAGGCTAGCTTTATGTTGATAAGGATGGAAATCAAGTCAAAAACCCTAGATTTGTCGTGGGTCCAGCTTCGCACAACGAATGGTTTATACACGGACGGGATTCCGTGGGCTGTAATCAGGGTCTCTGTAAGCCAACTTGCCTGTTATTTCACTCCATATTGACTCATCTGCCTGTTTTATCTAGGGAGTACGGTTGTTGGCTACAAAAGGGCAGTCGCCCATCGAGAGATCCAGGCTGCTCGGCTGTTGCCATTTCCCAAGCAAACACTACTGATTTACGGATCCCGTCCACTTTACTTACCAACTGTGGAGAAAAAAGTTGCGGCTTTGGAGCACTCCTTGCAATCCCTGGAGACTTTCCTCCCAAAAGATCTAGCTCTTCTCCGTGGTCATCTTTGGCACCCTGATTTCCACCACGAGAACATATTTGTGAACCCAGAGAATCCTTCTGAAATAACAGGAATCATTGGTTGGCAGTCAACACCTGGCAGTCAACACCGATAACACCACTGTTGATCAGCCTTTGGATCTTCCATTTATGAATTACGGCGGCTCGGATGGCGGTGAAACCCTTGAAATTCCTGTGCTGCCTGATGAATTTCAATCGATGCGAGGGGATAAGAAAAAGAAAATCCACAAGAATTATATGGATAAGTCTGCTGTGGTTGCATGGCGCCTTCTCCTGAAGCATAAGAACCCGGCCTATTAGAGAGCTAGCTTGTTTAAGCATAATCCTATTGGATTGACTCATGAGCTGTCTCTTCAAGTGTTTACCATCGGGGAGCCTTCCTGAGACAGGCGTTGACTAATTACATGTTGACTTAGAGGGTAAAAACCAAAGATAACAGCATTTTTTATTTATGAAGAGGGGGGCCATAACCTGATAAAAGCCCTGGAGATCACACCACTTCACTGCTTTTTGGGGTACATAGTGTAGGTACATTTGGGGGGGATTAAGCTGGAATAAAACCCATAAACCTAATAGGCCCATCTGCCATTCTGCGCAAGTTCGTAATAGAAAGGTTATAAGTATCTGCAGGATTTCTGTTGGGAAAGATGCAACTGCCAAAGAGTTGCCTTCTCGATATCGGGATCACCTGGTTTGTATTGTTTGTCGGCGCAGGAAAAATTGACTAGTCCCTATTAGTAGCTGTAAAATAAATTCTCAAATCAAATGATAGCAGTCACTTACCTCGGTTCGTAATAAGACAACTCTCCCAGCAGGATCCCTTCCATGAACGTGCAAATCCCCCTTTATACGGCCGCTACTGATATTTGTCCATCGAATTAGCAGCACGAGTTCAACAGCTGCGCCTCCAACAAGCCAGAGATCCTTATCAGCCTCCAACCGTGGCCAAGACTCCGACCAGCCTGCCTCGACAGCAACAGTTGGTAGGGGTAATGAGTCCGGGAGGATACACGCATCAGGTTCCTTTACAGCGGAAGTATATGGTGCCGCAAAACCAGTAAAACCTAATAAGAAAAGGTCAATCAAATCGAACTTCAAAAAGAGGAAAATGTGAAATAAAAGCTAAGATAGATGCAACATACTCGTTCCAACGCGGAGTCTCAGTTCCTTTCTTTCTGCTACCGTCAAGAACCCGGCCATAACCATATCGAGCAGCTCGTTTGAAAGCCACTCTTGGTGGCAGTCATGGACCGTAGTCGGCATAACTCGGGCAGTCAGAACTTGAGTTAACGGGTTATAGGAAATTCTGGAATACTTGTTAGAAATTGTTTCAGATCTTCTTGTGGTGGCTGCTTTCGGTAACGTACCGGGGAAGCAGTCTTTCAATCTCGGGATCCTCTGAAAACGAGGTTGCAATCTGAAACCCGGCAGAAGGAAAAATATTTTCAAAAGTAAGATCTGTAGAGTGGTTTGTGCTCAATATCACATTTCGAATGTTATTGAACAACTTCTGAGCAGACGGTTCTTCAGCTGGAAAGTTTGTGTTGCTCCGTAAAGAGCGCGTTGGGCTGGTGACGCTACCCATTGTTGTCAGATACTCAATAGAGATCAGACTATCTGCGTGAGGAACTGTATTTGTTCGAACACTCTTGAGAGAATAGAACTGGAGGACGATAGCGTGATGCTGGAGCCTATATCTTCGTGACTGTTGTAAACGTCCTGACTATCTTATCTGTTATGCTGATGAGTAGTACAGGACGGCTAACTGATAGTAGCCCGCTGTTGACCGAGAGTAGGGATCGCGAGTAAGAAGATAAAGACCAAAGGTGAATGACTTGGTAAAGGACTGGTATTTGCTTGCGCTTTCTTTACTGCACCATTAATTAGACTTAGTTTTTCTTTGTTTTGCAAAGGATGTAGTTCTAATAGTTATAAAGGACAAGGTTTGTTATTACGTCATCATGCCGTTACTATGGACGAACAAGCCTACTTACTAAGCGTGTAACTAGTTAACTAGGTACCTAGTTAGTTGGTTATTTCTAAGCATATCGATCAGACTTTCATGACTCAACGTCCTCGTCCACAGCAACAAAAAACTGCCTTGAGACAACTTGACCATAACCAGCCAAAGTCTTCTTACGCGGTTGGTTGTATTTTCAAAGTGAGGATATGATATTCCATACATTGATTGTACGAATCACGGACGTTCACGTATTGTTAAAGAGCAGACAAATTGGTAATCAGTATTGGCAGCTGTATCCGAAGGCTGGACAATCTTCTGCCACAAAAACTTCAAGGTAATTGTCGGTACTAAGCTCTATTTTGAGAGTTGAAATTTGAAAATTGACGACTTGAGGGCCGCTGTACGTACAGACAACGCAATACTAATCAACCATGTAATTATTAACTATAGGTTACCGTAGGAAATAGCCAAGTAATGCAAATGTTGGCACTATAATCCTCAGTCTCTTTCGTTTGACTTTCAATTGTTATCTAACTCTTTCATATTCACTATGAGCTTTAACTCTGATGAATTCAGCATCAAAAATCTAGAGAGTGTTCTCCAGGCGGCGTTCCTTTCGAAGAGCGCGCAGTTTAGCTCTAGCTTCCTCGAGGGGCACGAGACTGCCCTTGGTCTGCGAACTGGGATCATCACGGTTACGAATGTTAACCGAACGAGACTCCTTCTCTTGAGCGCCCACCACTAAAAGGGTTGTTAGTTCATTCCATGTAGCACGATACGAGATTGTAAAGCTTACCAAAAATGAAGTTGTACTGGGCCAACTGGCCATTTCGAATCTTCTTTTGCATAGTGTGGCCGCTGAGATCAATATCGACATTCAGCTTATCACCTCGAAGTATCTCCTGAAGTTCTTCGACATAGTCGTTGGCACTGGCCATAACGGGGACAATTAGGATCTGTCGGGGGCTAAGCCAGAACGGCCATTTGCCGCCAAAATGCTCAATCAAAATACCAAAGAAACGCTCAAAGCTTCCAATGATAGCCCTATGGATCATAACTGGTCTAGCTCTACCCGGGCCTGGGTTAGAAGAGTCTGAGGGCTGTGCTTGGGATGAGTTTGAACCGCCTTCTGGCTTAGCTTCGGCCTGAGGGGCCTGGGGCGCGGCCGGAGCAGCGGATTTAGGAATGGTTTCCCCAGTCATGTATTCGAGTTTGAAATTCAGGGGGAGTTGGTAGTCGAGTTGAATAGTGGCACACTGATGTTCTCGCTTCAGGGCATCGGAAATCGTGATATCAATCTTTGGTCCATAGAAGGCACCATCACCTTCGTCAATTTCCCATTCTGCACCCTTGAATTTGGTGAGAGCTTCTCTCAGTTGAGCTTCGGCAAAATCCCAGGTCTCAAGCTTTCCGAGGTACTTCTCTGGTCGGGTAGAGAGTTTTAGTTTGAAGCTGAATCCAAACAATCCATAGATAGCACGGAGGAAATCAAAGAGACCTTCGATCTCTCCTATAATCTAGTAAAAAAGAAAATATAGATTAGTGACATCTCCCTACTGATTTGGGTAGTCGAATATAGCCATACCTGGTTGTCAGTGCAGAAAATATGGGTGTCATCCTGCTGGAACTTTCTCACTCGAGTCAACCCGTGCAGAGCACCGGATGCTTCATTTCTATGAAGTACACCAAAATCTGCCATTCGCAATGGTAGTTCTCGGTAACTTCGCTCTCTGTGGCCAAACATGATACAATGGCCAGGGCAGTTCATTGGCTTCAGAGCCCAATCACGCTTTTCAACGTCAAGCTTGAACATATCGTCTTTGTAATGGGCCCAGTGGCCAGATTGTCGCCATATACCAACATCGTACATGTTAGGGGACTGTACTTCTTGATAACCTCGCTTTCGGTACTCGGTGCGGAGTAACTTTTGTAGGGCATTGAAGATCTTGGTTCCATTAGGAAGTAAAAAGGGGCATCCTGGGGAAACTTCGTCGAAGAAGAAAAGTTCTTGCTCTTTGCCGATTTTGAGGTGGTTTCGCTTCTCTGCCTCTTCAAGAAATTTTAGATGCTCTTGTAGCAGTTTCTTGTCAGGGAAAGCTACACCACGTATCCGCTGTAGGGCATCATTGGTCTGATCACCTAGGAAATAGGCAGAGGAGTTCTGCCTGGAGTCAGAAACGAGCTGAAAAGAACGTTAAAAGGTATAAAAGCACTTACCTGAGTGATCTTCATGGCCTTGATTTTGCCGGTGTTCTGAATATGGGGTCCGCGGCACAAGTCTACAAGAGTTCCACATCGGTAGACAGTGCTGCTCTCGCCTTCAACAAGATTGTCGATATAATGTAACTTATATTTGCTATAGCCAAACATTTTCTTCAGGTTGTCCTTGGAAACCTCCAACCTGTCGAATGACTGTTTCTCCTTGAAAATCTTTGCGGTTTTGGCGTCTAATGCTGGGTAATCGGTCTGGTGGACGACGCCACTAGAAAGGAGATATCATTAGCAACAGCTTCAGGTTGATTTGGTAGGCCAATTGCAATTGCCAAATAAAAAGGGGGGGAGCAGTGCTGCATACCCTTCAGGGATTGCCATATCATAGAAGAAACCCTGGGCAGTAGGAGGACCGTGTGACAGGAGACATCCATAATGACACTCGCAAGCCTCACCAAGAGCATGAGCACTGGAATGCCAGAACACTTCTCTGCCCTCCACGGAGTCAAAGGGTAGGTAGCGGATGCGGCAGTCCCTTTCAAGTGGACGGTCCAGGTCCCAGAGCTCCTTTCCGTCAAGCTTAGCGATAACTACGCTCGAGCTGAGCTCCTTGGGTATATCCTTCAAAAACGAGCCTGGAGTAGAGTGCCATGCCTGCGCGATAACGGTTGAAGGTGCGCCATTCACCTCCAGGGTCACGGTGATGTCGAATCGAGGCTTGTTCTTGATCTCCTCCACCTTCTCCTTGTACAGCCGGTCAAACAGCTCATTTCGCTCTATGATAAAGTCTGGCAGCGGCTTCTCAGCGGCTGCAGGCTTGCCCTTTGCCTTGTCTGCTTTCTGCGGGGCATTCTTCGAGGGGCCGGCGGCGTCCATGGGTGCTGTGCGGTCGGGCAGAGTGGTGTCTTTGGTCGAAGAGCTCGCTGGGGCGGCAGATTCGCTCATACTGCCTGTGATAGCCCACTCCGGTCAAATACTTGCAAGTCCTTCTGCTGGTCTTTCTGTTTCTTCTCGTGTGCTCTTGTTAATCTACCTAAACTGTGACTCGGTTTGGATAGTGTATAGATAGGTTGCATCACGTGACACTAACGTCGACTAATTTTAGCCGAGACTTTTTTTGATAGCTTTTTCGTTTCTTTTGACAAGCAAATAGGAAAAAAGTCTTCAAGAAGCCGGACAGTCGACCAGTTCCAACGGCACCAGCGGACGTTTGTTAAACAAGGAGAAAAGGGAATTGCGCCATGTCGTTTCGCGGGGCACCCAGAGGCCGTGGCACAGGCGCCAACCGTGGAGGGTTCGGGGCTCGCGGTGGTGAGTTGTGTGCTCAATCAATATTACATACATATCCAGTTCGGTTTAGCTGACAGCGCTCGGTTTCACCTGTTAAAGGCCGTGGAGGAATGCAGCAGTCATTTGGACCGCCGGCTACCGTACTCGAGATGGGCACCTTCATGCACTCGTGCGAAGGAGAGATGGTCTGCGAATCGATCAACCCTAAGATCCCATACTTCAACGCACCGATATATCTGGAGAACAAGGTACAATTGCAGCATCGTTTCTATGCCAGGAGAGAGACGCTAATGGACAATGCCGTATAGACACCGGTTGGAAAAGTCGATGAAGTTCTAGGGCCAATCAACCAAGTATACTTCACCATCAAGCCCCAGGAGGGTATTGTCCCGACGTCTTTCAAGACCGGTGACAAGTTCTACATTGGAGGAGACAAGCTATTACCATTGGAGAAGTATGCGCCCACGCTCTTTGTTGAATGGCCGTTGATATTGGATATCTAAGCTTACATTTTCACCTAGATTTCTCCCCAAGCCCAAACCACCACCAGGTGCACCAAAGCCAAAGAAGATCGGAGGCGCAGGGCGTGGAGGTCCTGCGCGCGGTGGTAGAGGGGGCTTTTCCCGCGGCGGACGAGGTGGTGGTGCTCCTCGAGGCCGTGGTGGATTCTCTAGAGGAGGCGCGCGAGGCGGACGGGGTGGTAGCGGTGGATTCTCTCGCGGAGGTGCCAGAGGAGGTTCGCGAGGTGGATTCCGCGGACGAGGCTAGAGGGAATCGCATCAGTCGATTTCCTTTATTTCCTCGCTGGCGTTTAGGAGCATTCTGGATGGGAGTTTGATTCCTTTCTTATCATTAACGATATCTGTGCTATTTTGGCCTAAAAAAAGAGCTGTCGGTTCCCGTTCCAATGTACTAATTGTAACATAGAGCCAATCTGCATTCCTCGCAATGTCTTATTTTACATATCTTCCTGTACACAGTCACAAAAGAAGTGGTGAATCCGCTGTCTGGCACGCTGAATCAAATGTGGCCAACGGTCTTTTGCAGGCCAAGGTCGCCTTTTTTTTTTTTTTAGCGCAGGGTAAACTAAACTCGCAATATATGACGTCCTTCTGTCCAGCCCACATCAACATTATTTCAAACCAAGGACAAACCGCTCCTATTCCACCCATCGCTCACCCTCTCCCTTGCGCGATAGCAGCTATTATTACCCTTATAGGCTTGCTCGAGCGTTATATTACTCTCTATTGATAATTCAGGCGTACAATTTAGCCCTCCTTCGACCCAGCAACCAGCCATGTCGCGACGAAGCCCTGCAGCGGGCGGTAACGGCCCCGAGAGCTCTGAAACCCCCAAGGATGCCGGTATGGACCTCGCTATACAAAGATCGATGTGCTGGAGGGACTCCCTAGCTGATATGCTCCCCGTTGCTAGGCCAGGATAAACAGAAGATTCTCCTCTCTGCAGACACCGGCCACTTCAGCTTAATCAGGTGCGCAAACAGCTGGAATAATACGGATAACAACTGCGCTCTCTCCCGTTCTGACTCAGTTATTTGGCACTTCTAGGGCCTTGCATCTTGCTGATTTTATTACGGAACTAAATGGTGTGTGGCTTCTTCAGTCCTGATATCAGTAAGGCGGACTCATTGCTGACTGACGCTTCATAGGATTTTGTGGAGGCAAGTATCTGGCAACTATCGTCGATCTCAGCCATCTGCAAGGGGTCAAGGGAATTTATAATTATACCTGGAGCTGACCAAGAATCTCCAGTGATGTCGATATTTTCGTCGTTGAGATACTGCCTAGGTGAATCTCACCATCACGGGAATATCTGGATGGCTCTTGGCTTCATTCCGTTCGGCCTCTTCTTCGACTTTATGGATGGAAAAGTTGCCAGATGGCGGAAAAAGTCATCGTTGATGGGACAGGAACTCGACTCTCTGGCAGACCTGGTATGCATTTCGAAATAGACCGAAGCGACATGAAAAAACCCCTCAGTCTGCCGTGCGCGGAAATTTGTTGATATCTAACATATGATTAGGTCTCGTTTGGCGTTTCTCCAGCAGTGGCAGCATTTTCGATCGGAATCAGATCGCCAGTTGACCACGTCCTACTCACTCTCTTTGTGCTCTGCGGTCTTACCAGACTTGCTCGATTTAACGTCACTGTTGCAACACTCCCTAAAGACAAGACGGGGAAGTCGAAATACTTTGAAGGCACTCCCATCCCGACAACGTTAGTGCTTGTGGGGATAATGGCGTACTGGCTGTCTCAGGGTTGGATCTTGGATGACCTTCCACTTGGAGTGATGCTCCCAGGCACCGCACTCGAATTTCACCCCATTGTTGGCATGTTTCTTGTCAGCGGCTGCCTCATGGTAAGCAGATCTATACATATCCCAAAGATATGATAGGCTCTACCTACCCGTCGCCTAGTACCTTTTTGGTCTTGTTGGTATTATTCGTTTCTTTGTTGTTAAAGAAAGAGAACGAGGGACCTGTTTAGCTGCCTTAAGTTTTGAGTGCGTGTTTGTTTTCCTTTGACCTTAACGTGCCTTTGTTTAGTTTTATGTGCAAGCCAGTTAGATCCCTGGTCATTCAGAGTATGGCAATCATTTGGCGGTTCAATCGTCCACACTGGCAATCAGATATATACAAGGATAGAAACGACTCCGCGACGTCCAAAAGCCGTTCAATACTCTTTTTGGTCCCTTTATTCTTTTTTTTTTTGTACAGAGTACTCGGTAACGATTCTCGATCCCGATCTATGCTGGGCTGGAGCGCTTTCTCTTCGACGGCAATCCTTCGGCAACCAGCACGATAAACTGGGTGCTAGGAGACAAGCAGAATATTTGCACATCCACAATGACGAAATAGCGAAATATTCTACAATATCAACTTTCTGATATAGAGAAGGATAAAAATGGATGTGTCACCTCAATGCGATGGGCCACGATACCGGCCAGGATCCCTCGATCTATGCCACGAAGCCCACGAGCCAAGGGAGATTAAAGGAGCGCTCTCTGCACAGGCAGGTATATAAAATCTTCAGCCCGGAAAGCGGCTGAAGATTTGGTTAGGAGCTGGTATCGGAACACGGGCTTTGCAGGATGAACCTTTGTTCTAGATCATTCTTGGTAGAATGGCTGATACGTGTGCTGGCGTATTCCAAAAGCCTCAGAATATTCTCCGCCGGCTCGGCTGGCTTTTTAACACCTCAAAGCTGTGGCCGGGAATGCGCGGTTTGGGCAACTCCGTTGCCTCCTTGATGACATTACTCGAATGTTCGCCTGCAACCCTCCAAGCCTGGCCACGTATCTCGAGCAGCGATCTAGCCGCCCGCCCAACCGCCTGGCATCACTCCGCGCCCTGCATCTCTTGAAGGAAAAGATGATGCGTCAGGCCAAATGTTCCAATTATGGAAATCGAGCACGCTGGCCGCAGGACATCATGATGTATGTATGATGCACGTCGATATATGCCAGTTGATGACTTAATCGGCCCCCAGTAACGGAGATAGTGCTGGGAGACGAATCATTTCAGGCGCTTGAGGGCGACGACCCCTGCTTAGCCCAGACTTAAGGGCAAATCACACGATAGCAAGGATCCACGGAGTCTTAGTGTCTTACTTGATGCGCGAGCAAAATAGATTACAGTCTACTATTGACAGGGAAAGTTGGGAGCCACTGGGACCGTCAGGCGCCAAGTCAGCCATAAAATACAGCACAGAAGGGCGAGAAGGACGCCAGCAGAAGCGGAAGAAGCATCCAGAGAACAAACAATATATCTGTTTGGGGGTGGAGAGGAAAACCTCCGCCCCGGTGGCGAGAAGCTCCGGCGCCAGAAAAAAGGAAGACAAGAGAAAGCAGAGGCCTAGGGATCGTGTTATACTTCTGCTCGTGCTTACGAGGGGGACTTGCATGTTATCTTACAGCAGACATCTTAGCTGAAGGGACGAGAATTTTGCTCGCAGGGATACACTTTAGTTGGAAGAATCTCCGAGGATATACGACAACGAAGGGCAAATGCTCACCTACTCGCCGTGGATGAAAGAGCAAAAGAAAATAAAAGAGAGAGAGAGGAAGGGGACGATCAAAGATGCCCACCGTCACTCCGTCATTTTGCATATACAACTTTCATAACTTTCATGGCTCATGCTTTTGCCAGGCCAGCAAGTCTTTTTCCTTTTGAGAAGACATGATACTTCCCCCAGACTCCATACCGGGCCTGGGAATATACGGAGTCGACGACCACCTGGCTGCACCGCCACGGATTGCATACGTTCAGTATCCCGCCCCTGAAGCACACTAGATGTTACATGTACCAGTTCCGGGCCAGGGTGCAGCGAGCAGCGGGTGTTCCTGGGCCCAGAAACCAATTTCGGGGTCAGAGCGTATTCCATATGTACCACTAGGACAACTATCGCCTGCGATTTAACGACGGGCAAAGTTCGCAGGCGCCGCTGATTGGGTTGCACCGCATACCGAGTCTGCATGTGGATGGTGACACCCCTTTTTTCTAGCAGCCCAAGCAGGTACGGCGCCCGTACATAGAGTATCGAACGGTTCCAGTTCTCCATAAATTACCTGGATATGCATGCTCATAAACGGCAGGGATACGGCAAGTCCTCGCCCAGACACGCACTTATTCCCTAGCCCAGAGCGAGGCTTCTCCTCTCCTTTCCATCGCTCGTACAACTCCGTCCCTTCTGCCTCCGTCTCGCATCTTCGACAGTCCTTTTTTCGTCTCCCTCCACACTCTTTTCTTTCCTACTAGTCCAGGTTCATCTCGTCGAGCGGCTGCTGATGAGATCGTCTGCCCCTACCACAGTCTTTCACAGTCCTTGAATGCTAGGATTTCCTTCCCGGTTATATCGTCACAACGCTCTCTCATACGTCAAGTCAATCGTTTTTTTTTCTCCCTCTCGACTGCGTGGTTTTTTTGAGGTTCGTCCAACTCATCCTCGATATCACCAACATTTCCCACCCCCCTCTCTCACAACCCGGCGTATCGACAACTTATTTCAAACCATCTCCTGAATAAAAGGCCGATATCGTTTGACGAGTTGACGATATTAACACTGGTTATTGCAGACGTTCTCGAAAAAATAGTGCATACGTATACACCTATCGGCATACGCACCACTTTTCTCGGTGCTGAGTTGTCACCTGGTTTACGGACCGATATCCTCAGGAGGACGTTGGAAAGGAGATGTTGTCAAACAGAATATAAAACATCAACTTATTGATATCCATCCCGAACATTCCGGCCTACAGTTCTCGCACATCGACTGTCCCTGATTCGGCATTTCGCTTGAGGCGCTGTGATCCGTTTCTCTATATACGAGCCGGTCCTCCCTTTCACCAAAAGGGAGAAGAAGAAAAAAGCGGTATCAACCTGTAAATATGAAGATATATACGTCGAAGGCCGTCACGGCAGTGGCCTTCCTGCTGAGTGCGATCCCATCATGTCTGGCAGAAGATCCTAAGATCAAGGGATGCTACAAAGATTCCGGCAGCTTGAAGGACATGGGGCCCACCAAGTACCAGAGTGTAGGAGCCTGTCGAGACCTTTGCGTGAAGTCCCAGAGTGCTGTATTTGCGCTTCATGACACAAACCGATGCTCTTGCGGTGATAAATATCCTCCAGTGGACCTCAAGGCCGCACCTTCAGACAAGACCTGCGTGCTCGTTAAATGTCCTGGCTTTGATCAAGATCAATGTTTGTTCTTCCTTTACCTTTCCCTTGATGTGGGCAATGAATGACTAACTTGACGGCGCTCCAGGTGGTGGAAAGAACAGCTATGCGATCTACCTGACCGGTCTAGTCGACGACCCGGCAACAGAAGGCAGCGCAGACGACGGCGATGCCACGAAGACCTCACAACCTCCTCAGGCAACAATTACTGAGGGAGGGCACACCGTCATCGTCACGCCCACCCCAAAGCCGTCAGGCCCCAACAAGGCTGGAATCGCCGCCGGAGTAGTCGTCGGCGTCGTGGCCATCGGTGCCATCATCGGCGGTGCCATTTTCTACCTCAAGTACAGAAAGCGACAGAAAGTGGTTGACGAGTACCGTCGCAACGCAACGATTAACAACTTCGTCGCAGGAGGAAAGCCATCTTATAGCCAGAGCTCGGCGGATTCGCGATTAGACCCCAGCATGACATCTCAGCGCCGCCAGAGCAACGGCAGCATTGCTGATGACCAGGACTTCTCACGACGAGTTTTGAAGGTACTATCCCATCTTTTATCCATCCATCTGCGGTCTTTTTCCATCCCCCTGGCTAACAGTTGCAATCTGCAGGTCACCAACCCGGATGGAAATTATTAAATATACCCACTTCGATATATACGTTTATAAAGCCGCCTGCTGTCTCTCGCCTTGCCTTCTCTTGTTTGTCTTTTTTTTTTCGCTGGGAGGAACGCTCCCGTTTAATTGATCGCAACCTGTCGATACTCCCGCTTCAGCCCAGATATTAACGCCCGTGTATATTCCCGCTCCCTCGCCGCCATCTACTACTTGTATCTCAGCCCTCCCCCTGTCGACCTGTATTTTCAGCTTTGACCTTACGACCCAAAACCAACTTCCACCTTGTGATTCCTTCTCGGCGTTATACCACAACAGTCTTTTCGGAAAGGAGGGGAGTTTTGTCGACGTATCCTCCTCTTTCTTTTCCTTTCCTTTTTTTCCTTTTCGTTTCTTTTCTGTATACGCTCACTCCTTTTTCTATCACAGACGAGTATGGAATAAAGCAAAGCGGACGTCTGGGGAGGCGAATCTGAACTCATCCAAATGAAAATGACCAGTCAAGGGCGCCGCCCTTCCAAACTCCTCTGTGCCTCTTGTGCCTTTGATTTCCCTATTCTCTTCTTTCATGGAACGTGTGCTATGATCCATACCTCTCGTGGCCTGCCATCTACCTGGATTCTTGATTATATCTCTTCTATATCTCCTTCCTACCTTCTTCCCTCTCACACCCCCCTTCCACCCCTCCAATTTTCCTATATACCTTATACTATGTATGCATCTGGGCGTTACTGTGTGTATTCTTCCTCACCGGCTTCCTATATATACATCTCTTTTACTAAGTTGACGTCTTGGACGACTAGCCCCTTTTTTCTCTTATACAGTACATATATACACATATTATATTTGTCCTCCTATCCGCCTCCTGCCATATATCCGTATATATGTCTCTTTCTTCTCTTGCATCCCTAGTATTATTTAATTAGTACATCATTCATCTGCCCCTCGACGTGCCATTGGGTCACTTTTGCCCTTTCCCGTCGATCAGAGCATGGAGATCACACCCGTAGCGCTTCACATGTCCACTTTTCCCTTCCATTCATCTTGCGCCGTCGGAGTCACTTGACGGCTCCCTCGGCATTTGAATATCAGAGCAAGAAACGAAAGAATGAGAAAGAAGTACGGAAAAAGAAAGCAAAGGGCTTGTCGTGTGTATCGCTAACTGGCCGATACGTATCATATTCCAAGCGCTCGTCTCGCCCTCAGGCTCTCTTCACTCTTGATCTCCCTCTCTTTGCGCCCAACGAAGCCGCCGCGCCGCTCGTGTGTATCAGATTAAGCTCTGCTGATCCCCTTGCTATTTTACTGGGCAGATGCTTGAGGATGAGGAGAGCGGGAGACAGTTCAGCCCGTGATACGATGAAGACTGCTGGGGACGGGAAATTGAACGGCTGATATTTATCTGGCTTGTTTCTTGGTTGGTGTTGATATCCAGGGGCAGCCAGCTCATTCGCATTTAGATGGTTATCTAAGAAAAATAACGGCCACCCTTTTGATATAGGGATATAGTGGCTCGATGGCCTTTCGTTGGAGGTGTGAACAGTGTTCGAGGCCCGGTTATGCCGTCATACCTTGCCTGCCGTCGATTGTTCTGCAGTGAAACGGGTTCTTATGCGCTGGCCGTGTCACAGTCAGTTCCTCAGTCGGTACCTCTTGTACTATGTTATATACATATATGCATGCAAGCTCAATAATGGGGCCTACTAGCTTGTGTCTTGTATTACCCTAGCATCCGGGGTACATGACGATAATGGAGTGAATCTTACATGGACCAAATGAGCAATATAAACCATAATGAAAATACTTGATATCTGCAAATATGAGCCATGCTGGTGCTAGTTAACAGAGACGGAGAAAAAGAGAAACAAAAAAAAAATGCTACATATTATCGTAATACTTCCAAAAGACGCCCATGCAACTGGCAACAACCAAGTCTAACATTTTCAAACCCTCATCTTCAATGATAATTTTGCCCAGCTTAGCACTGTTGCCGCGAAGGCCTCCGCCGGCCCTTTCACGAGCAAGGCTCAGATCCAACTCTCCGATCCAGGAAGAGGGTTTGGTCGGGCTGCTGTTTTGGTCGCCCGAGCTGGACGGCCGGGGAAGTAAGGTCGGCAGGTTAAACCGTATTTCAGCAACTGTCGTAGTTGCTGCTGAGGACGGTGAGTTTCCTGCAGCTCCCGGGATGGTATGCTTGCACTTCAAAGTCCTTCCGTTGGCCGCAGTGACAAAGTTACAGTGGCCGTTCCAGATGGAGGTGAAGTGGTAATGGGCATTACCTCTGTGGGGGTACTTGCTGGGCTTGGGGGGAGAACGATTGAACATCTCGCCGCCGTGAGAGGAGGAGTGGTGTCGATGGTGAGACGACGACTGTGGTGGGTGTGAGAGTTTCAGGAGGCGAGTGAATTTGACAGGACCTGGCCCGGGACCTGAATCTGATATATCTTCAGCCTCTCGGGGCATATTCGAGGACATGCTGGAAAGGGGGGGCCGTGCAATGTCCAAGCTGCGTGCTGAGGCAGGAAGCTTAATGCCTAGACTTTCGAACGACATTCTAGACGTGTCAACTGCGAATTTCTGATAGCCTGGCGTCGCGATTTCAACCCTTATAGAGCCGTCTGGCCTCCCTTCCAAAGGGGAACTGCCTATATTATCGATCGTGCCGACGTTCCACTGGGTGCTGTGCGTTGGATCACGTCGTATCAGGGTCAAGTGGAAAGGGGCTGCAGGAACAGCCTCTCGTGGCCGTTCATAACTTTTTCTCGGCCTCAGGGGAAGCGGCGGTTTGGGTCCTTCGTCCTCTGGTATGTGTAAGAGTCCCCGGTGGCTCTGAGGCCGTGTGGGTGTGGGCTCCGACTCGAATAAGGGCCTCCCTCCGCCATCCCAGCTGGCTCGCACTGTTGTTCCAAAAGCTTGGTCCCGCCAGCCCTGCACCATCGATGGCGACCCTACAGAGGGTGTCGAGGAAGGCACCTGGGCGCTCCATCGTCGTGTGTCTTCGTCGATAGGCCGACCGGAGACTGGACGAGGCGGGAGAATCGGTGGTTGCGGCTCCCAGGGTGGCTGGCCAGGCGATCCTGACCCATTGATAGGCGAATGTCTACGTTCTGGAGATGTTTCCACAGGTATGAGGCCCTCCTGCTCCCTCTCCCTTTCGTATCGTATATCTGCATCTTGACTCTGGCCGTGAGTTATGTGTTGGGGTCGAGGTGGTAGTGGAGGGGACGCTTCATGTTGGGTATGAGCCGTAGCAACACCTGGCACCGGTTTCCTTCGAGTCCGGTTCAGGATCGCCAGCTTACTCGTCTGTGGTATTGCATTCTTGGCCTGCTGCTGCTGTTGCTGCTGCTGGGATTGCTGTTCTTGTTGTATGCATTCTAGGATCTCTTCGTCTCGCGGCCCAGCCACATGTATGAAGTACAACGACGCATTAAGAGATTCGGGAGAGAGACTGGACTTTGTAGGGGGTTTCAGCGGCGAGAGAAAGACGTCTACACAGGGAGTACGCGGTTAGTTATCCTGAGCTGAGAGTGTAACGAGTCTAGGGGGGGCGTTTTCGTCCGATCTCACCTTTGCTGCCGGGCACGCGAACGATGTACAGAACCAGTGGCTCCAACGGCTTCTGGGTTGGATTCCGGGGATACGCAGGCGGGTTCGATGCGAGACTGACGATGGAAGCCAGAGAGCGAGCCTCGACGGGAGCGCCGTCCATCGGTCGTTGCTGGCTGCTCTTGGTCGGCGGCTGGAATGTCCAGCTGGAGGGGAGTTTTGCGATAAGATATTGTTATATAACTGCCTAGGCCTATTAGTTATTGGGCTGTGGCTGTGGCTGCGGGCGTCTGCAACCCAACCGGGTCTCCAGAAGAACAAGAAAAGCGAAAGAAGAAGAAGAAGGTGATGATGAAGAGTAGAAGATGACGGGCAGCTATTTATTTATTGCTTTTCCCCCTTTCTACGTCCAGACTCAGCCGCGAGTTTGCTATTGATCTAGATTGATTGTTACCTACAGCCCGAAAGACGAAAGACAAATAGACGAAGACGAAGACGAAGCCAAGGGCAAAGACAAGAAGAGCCAATGGCCGATTCGCCTTTGACAGACGCCCGAGTGTTAAAAGGGAGAGCAGGGAATCAGAAGAAGTTATGTTTAAAAATATCAAGGTGTTGCGAATTTCGGTATTAATAGAACGAAAGCCACAGTGGATTATGCATGCATGATGGCAAGGATATAGATAGAGACAGATAGGTAGTTAGATGGAGAGAGAGAGATTATGCTGGTGCCTGGACTGCGCCTCACGATAGTGATGTATTTAAATGTATTAACTATTTCATGTGCGACTGTTTTGTTTGATCACACGGCCTGCGAGGCGAGGAAAGACCAAGTTACCAGGCTGGCTTGTCTTCGTAGGACGGACAGACAGGCCGACGGCTGGACTAGAATGACAAGGAGGAGATATATCTGTGCCTGTGCTGTGGCTGTGAGTATGGACAAGGACATAACAGGAGAGAGCAAGGAGAGTGTCTGGATCAGAGAGAGAGAGAGAGAGAGAGAGCTCAAGTAGAATCAAGCAGAAGCAAAGGAAGCAAATGATGGATATATAGTGTGACAAGGGCCGGTGACCGGTCGAGAATGATTATTACGCCCCCCAGCTCCAAAAACTCCCTCCCACCCCCAAGGAAAGAAGATGATAGTTCAAATCGGAAGAGAAAACAATAGGACAGTAAATAGAGAAGAAGAAGAAATGATATGGCCTGGTGTATCCGTGCTGCTCCGCCTGTTGTGACCCCATGTTCATATAAAGGTGAATGTGTTAAAAAGAAAGATAAAACTCCGCGATGCTGGGCGGGACGGGACGTTATACGGCAGTCTCTGACCGTTCGTTCTCGGAAATGATAGGGACGGGGAGGCCACGGTTGGGGCTCTGAAGGATCAACTGCTCGTGTCGTCGTGCCCTGAGGTAGTCGCTGATAGCACGGATAAGGATGAACCAGCCAACAACCATGAGGACGTAAGAGAGCCAGTCGCTGGTGGTGAGGCCATGGAACGACGAGCCACCGGTTCCAGCTGAGCCGTCGACGGTACCCGGGTTAAAGTTGTGGCTGTTCGGATCAGGTGGGTTGACGTACCCGTCGTCTCCGGAGTCCGAGTCAGGAGAGCCATATCCGTCCGAGTTTCTCATGTAGAAGCCGTACTGCACCATGGTAAGACCGAGGCCAGCTCTGCTTCCGTTCTTGGCTGCGTGAGTGGTGTGTAGAAGGTAGGTGAGCAGGAAACCGCGAGCTGGAACGAGGTGAGATCATGCCGTTCCAGGCAAACGAGAAGACGGAGCCGACGGGGAGACCCTCAACGTAAACCTCATCCGAAGACATGCCGGGAGCCACGATGGTGGTCTCCCAGTACGGAGGAGCAGCATCTGCCGCTGCTTGTTCATATGTCTAATAAACCCATCGTCAGTTATACATACATCCATGGCCTCTTCCTACCAGAGCCAACCAGCAAAAACGTCAGGTCAGGGGTATCTTACCGGTGGTAAATCGTCAAGTTTCTCGCCTCCGCGCTCTGGCTTAGCCGATAAATTCGCAAACACTCCATCGTTGGCTCCTCGAATTACTCGAGACGCTGATGCATTCGCTCGTCCTGCTGGCTGAGCGCTATTATTGCTATTACTCCCTGCCGGCGCTTCTGACGGGTCGAAGTCTGGCGTAGTATTGGCAGGGCTCCCCCTCATCAGCCGCTGTCTGTCGTCTGCCCCTTCTTCGTCGTCACTGTGTCCGTCATCATCGCCAAAGGCATCGGCCAGTGTTCGATCTGCATCTGAGTGTAGAGGGTCCTGGGATAGCAGGCGGCGAGATGATGGGGATGGCGTCCGCGAATAAAAGGAGGGTGGAGGGGATGACGGGATAGGCTGCTGCTGTATGGCTTGCGAGGATACAGCATCGTCTTCGCTGCGAGTATTTACCTAGAAGACAGGACATGCCTTGGTCAGTAGGAGTCTCAGAATAAAAGGACAGTCGTGATGGTATTCAGGTGGCCGGGTTGACGTAGTGTTTGTTGCCTTGGGGACTTACGGGTTCATATCGATGTGAAGTCATAGTGCCGCTTCGTCCACAACCGCCCCGAACTGGAGCCACGCTGTGATTGTTCGACGTTCTTCTCAGGGTTAACCAGCTGCGTGTCGACAAGTGCTTCTTTCAGTAAAAACCAAATGTCAAAAGAAAAGCAAGCGAGCCAAAGCAAAGCCGGCGGTTTTCTTCTTCGTCTTCGTCTTCGTCTTCGTCTTCGTCTCCTTCTTTCGCCTTCGAAGCAACGAAAAAGGGCGAAACAAGCCACAGTCACGTGGTAAGTTACGGGTCATCTTTCTTCCGCAGTTTCTGGTGAACCTTGTCGAAGAAGTCGAAGTTGGTGAAGAAGAAGAAGGTGACATTGATAACTGCATAACGGCAAATAAACAAGGGAGAAAGGACTGTTTACAAGCGATACCCCGATACAGAGACAGGAAACATGCAGCGAAAGGTTTGAACTCGCCCAATTGAGCCGCATGCGCGGGTGGAAAAACAGTATACTAACAAACAGCTTCAATAGCTCGCCCCAGCAACTCCAGTACAGCAGATCCAACGGCTCATAGCCAGATGGCCCAAGGATCCGGTTCGACCAGAGTCTGTTTCAGTTCAGACATACCTCCAGTCACGGCTTGAACCTCCGCGCCCTCCACCTTCTTCCGACTCCTCCCTTAAATCCTACATCACATCCATCTTTTCACGGCGA